TGGGGACAGAACACGTCTGCCCCACACTGCTTCCCCTGGAGGTTTAAGGGGGCTTGAAGGAGTCATTTCTGAGATGGTGCTAGGCATGGCTGGTCACTTCACACTGACTGGGAGTTTAACCAGGGTGCAAACATGGGGCCTTTCTGTGTGGACCTTCCAAGACTATTTGAGACTCCTCCAAGCATGGTGGCCAGGTCCCATGGGGCCAGCATGTAGAGACCTCTGGGAAACTGCTGCATGACCTTCTGCAACCCAGCCACTGAGCTGGACAAGGCAGCCATCCCTGACTTAGGCTCCGATGGGGTGGGTTGGACATGGGACATAGCAGCACCTTGATTTTCTTTTAGAGACTCACCTCTCCCCACCCCCAGTCCAGATGGCCAGCAGAGATCTGACGGCACACCTCAGGTCAGGTCAGCCTGTTAGCAACCAGCTAGGGAGGCAAACCACCTGGACTCAGCCTCAAATCTCCACCAAAAGCTAATCAGCCTTGGGCAAGCTCTTGCATGTCTATGTTTTCTCCTACTCTGCCTTCCTGTTCTCTTCACACAGAGTCTAGGAGTCTAGGAGCTTCCACCTGGGAGTGAGGAACCCTCACTGCCTCCCTTGTTCTCCCTGCTGGGGACTGTATCGGCCTGGGAGTCTGGGAATACTTGCTCTCATTCATCATTCATTTCTCATTTATAAAGTGGGATAAAAGGGACCGGCCTCATTAGATTGCTGGGAGTGCTCTGGCGCTTAATAAGCACTCAGTAACTGCTAACAGTTATTGTCACTGTCATCATGCCTCTGGACACAGAGTTGGATCCAAGGAGATCAAATGGCCCAAGTCTGCTCAGTTGGAGGGAAGCAAGATTGTACTAGGACTTTCTAGCAAGGATTGCCAGGTCAGTGGAGTCAGAGTTGGTTTCATCTCATTCACTCACACATCTTGCCATCCCATGGTTTAAGCCTGCTCAAGAACACAGCCAGTATAGAGACAGCAGAGCCAATAATAGGGGGCTAGTGGTTACGAATCGGGCTGCGAACCTTAAGGTCAGCGGTTCGAAACTACCAGCTGCTCCGCGGGAGAAAGATGAGGCTTTCTACTCCCGTAAAGATTTACACCCTCGGAAACCCTATACAGGGTCGCTATGGGTTGGAACCGACTCGATGGCACACAACAACAACAACAACAGGGCCCTAGTGGCATGATCTGAGACCCTCTTAAGGGCAGTCTGCCCTTTTCAGCTACATGAACAAATAAAGCCCTCTTCTTCTACCTATGCCAGTTGATGGCATAGTGGGCTAAGCACTGGGCTACTAACCAAAAGGTTGGTGGTTCAAACCCACGAGCCTCTCTGCAGGAGAAAAATACGGTCGCCTGCTTTTATACAGATTTCTTCTCTGAAACCCTGTGGACCCTAGGGTCACTATGAGAGCCGACTTTACAGCAGTGGGTCTGTTTGTTTGTTTTTGGTTTAAGCCAGTGAGAGTGGAGTTGTGAAAAAGGTCCTCACTAATTCCTGGGAACTCCTACAGGAGTGAAGGGTGGTCCATGAAAGGTCTGATGAGTGAGGCCAAGATGGAAGGGATGAATGACGTGGCCTTGGCTGGCAGAACCTTCCAGAGCTGGCCCACCCCTTGTTCCCCTCCAGTCCAGGTGGACCCCTGCACAACTAACTCCAGAGGTTAGTCTCTGACTCTACCTGCAGCCCTTACGCTCTTCAGTCTGTATTTGAAATGACAAATACAGCCTGAATCTCTAAGGGTCCACTCAGATCACTGTGTGGGTAGCTCTCTGGAAATATGTGGAACCAGGCTTAAAGAGTAACGTGAACAGGCAGATAAGGAAACCCAGGACCCACAGCACTGTGGTAACAGCAAGAAACCATGCATGAGAGAAGCAGTTGGAAGCAGGGGACTAGGTTGGTGGGGACTCAAGGCACTCGCACACCTGGTCTTCTGACCTTCTGTCTGCTCTGGGCTATAAGCCCAACAAATGTTTTAAATCTCCCCAGTGCAGTGTGGGTGCCCAACAATAGTGCCAACCTGAATTACCCTAAGACTCTAGCCGTACTCAATCACTTGCTGTTGTGAGCTGCCGTCGAGTTGGTCCTGACTCATGGTGACCCCCCCATGTGCAGAGCAGAACTTGCTCCATAGACCTGTCAAGACTAGGAGCTGTCAGAAGCAGATTGCAAGCTTGTCTTCTCTGGCTGAGTTTGAGCCGGCAACCTTTCAGCTACGGAACCTTTCACTTAGCCGTTTGGGCCAAAGAAGGAGAAAAGAAAGGTCCATGGAGTGCCAAGTCCTAAGAAAAACAGCTCATGTGCATTCAGTCCTTTCTACCTTCTAGACATTGGTACACGTTGTTGGAGAGAGAACTAGTGCTTACAGACACTACTTACAAAACAAGCAAATCTGCTTTGAAAGAAGTACAGCCAGAATGTTTCTTAGACACAAGGATGGTGAAACTGCATCTCACTTTGGACATGCTATCAGAAGGCACCAGTCCCTGGACAAGGGCAGCCTATGTGGTAAAGTAGAAAGTCTGGGAAAAAGAGGAAGATTCTCACCACTGGCTGCAACACTGGACTCAAAACTGGCACTGATTGGGACGATGGCGCAGGACAGTGCTGAGTTCTGTTGGACATGGTTATTACCAGGAGTTGGAAGAAACTGGACGGTGACCTAACAATATACACAGAAAATGTAAAATGCCCTCCCTCCTTCCACTGCACCAGCCCCATGTAAAGTATTCAAAAGCCAAGTGTGGCTGTTGCCATGGTGCTGGACAGCACAAACGTGTAACTTCCCTTCCGTTAGGCACTGTGCTCCCATTTTGGCCTTCACCCAGAAGCACCCGCATGCACCCCACGTACAAAGTGGCAGCGTTGTATGCACAAAGATCACAACTGCTCACAACCATTAACAGGAGCAGAGACCCTGCACATGTAGGGAGTGAGTCATTATATAATTGTGCTTTTTAGAACTGCGGACCCAAGAATGGGCATGGGCCAGAGGAGGTGCCTACACATTTTCTCAGGACTACCCTCAGCCCACTGACCCCTCCCAGGTGTCTCCAGTGTTTGCTCCAAGGGGAGGCTGGCCAAGGCATGCTTTCCCCTAGGGAGAGCCAGGCCACCTGGAAATGGATGGACACAGAAAGGGACTAGAACACAGGACCGGAGAAAGTAGCCGGTCTCCTTCCCAGGCTACGAATTGCCACAGGGCCACCCGAGAAAGTGCATAGGGCCCTCCCTGGATCTCACCTCTGAGAACCAATAAACACAGAAACGTTCATATTTAAAACTTTAACTATTACCAATCATTTACAGCCCTGGCGCCGCAACCCTTCCCAAGGGACTGTTCAGAGTGGGAGTGGGTGGGCAGGGGGAGGAGTAACAGGAAAGGTCCCCTGGGGCCCTATGCAAACTCCTAGCTCATATGCAAACTGGGGCCAGGCCCTGGTAAGACCCAGAACTCCGATTTGCTGGGCTCTCTAGTCCTGGTGTGTTGGAACCCCCAGCTCCTCAGGAACCCTACACACGGTTGCTATGCAGGGAGGAATGCACCATCGCTAACAGTCCCCGTTCTGGCTGTTTGTCCACCTTCCCTGAGGCTCCTGGACAGGGCAGGGAGGGCTGCTGTCGGGGGCAGGAGACCGGCAGTTGAGGGGCCTAGCCCACAAGGACAGCCCTGCCCTCTCTGCTGGCACACATGGGCTCCACTGGGCAGCAGCGGCCACCCTGCTCCCAGCCTCAGGGGCTGAGACAGGGCCCCCCACTTCTCGGCGGGCGGGCTCCTTGGCCCTGGGAGCTGCCCTCACTCTCCCATTTGCTGTGATTTTCTTTGGCTACTCTGCTGTGGCCTGTGGGTTAATGCGCTGGACCGCAGGGTCGGCGGTTCCAGCTGACCAGTTGCTCCCCGGAAGGCCCATACAAGGTCGCTACGGGTCGGAACGGACTCGACGGCACTTCACAACCACGCCCTGCAGTACCTGCACGTGGCCGGCGTGCTGCCTGAATTCATCCCCAGGCCCCTCCGGCCCTGTTAGCTGGAGAGGACCCGGCTTTCTGCTCACATGCTTCCACTCAGAGACTTCCTGAGGAGAGTGGCGACTGAGGTACACGAACCAGCTCCTCCGCGCCTCGGGACCAGGAGGTGCCCCACAAGTTTGCAGACCCAGTGGGGCGCAGGGGTGCTGTCCCCCGGCTCCTAGCACGGGGTGGCCCCGGAACCGCTACCTCAGGCAGCTGTGGTGCAAGCTAGTGACGCCCTGAAAAGCGGCCGCCGAATGGGCGGGACTTATAGGAAGAGCAGGGCCTCAGGTAGCTCAGCTCCGACCCAGCTGGGTCAGCTTGTTGGGGGCGGGGTCTCAGAAGCGTTACGCTAAGTGGGCGTGGCCTGGTCGTCGGGCGGGGCATATGGGTGGTGCCTCACCTTGCGCTGCGCGCTCGGACAAGGTCTCGGGGTGGGGCGGGGCTCAGAGGAGGCGAGCACGGACTGTCTGGGCGGGGCCCAGAGGCTAGGGCGGGGCCGGGCGGGCCGGGGCGGGGCCGCGCTGCAGCTCACTTCCTCTGGTAATCGCAGACGGGCGGAAGTACGTCAGTTGTTATCGGCTCAGGGCGCCTTCGCCGCTACTGCCTCAGCTGCTGCCGTCGCCTCCCAAACCTACCGCTGAGGAAGGCCGGCCGATCCACTCGCCCCGCGCCCATGGGGCGCGTCCCCGGGGGAGCGGCCAAAGGCTAATAAGCACCCTGGGCCCGCCCGCCGGATGCGCCGGACCGGGGAGCCGAGGCCGAGCCGGGCCCGGGGCTGAGCCGAGGCGGCCGCGGAAAGCCGTGCTCCGTGCGTCCCCGCTCGCGCCCCGGGCATGCCCGGCCCGGCCCCGCGCGCCCGCCGCCCGCCGCCCAGTCACCGAGCCCGCGAGGTGCACACGCAGCTCCATAGCTCTGCGGCCGCGTAGCCTGAAAGCCGGCCCGTCAAGGTCACCAGGCCCGACGGGCGCCGCAGCCATGGAGGCCAAGGTCCGCCCGAGCCGGCGTTCGCGCTCGCTGCGGGACCGCGTGAGGCGCCGGGAAGCGGCCGCCGCGGCCCGCGACGCCCGTCCGCGGAGCCCGTCGTCGGGTGACGAGCCCGAGCCCAGCCCGGGCAAGGAGAACACGAGCCACAACTGCGCGCCGCCCCGAGGAGGCGCCGCTGCCGCCCCTGCGCCCCGCGTTGCGCGCCCCCCGCGCCGTCGCCGCCGCGAGTCCAGCTCGCAGGAGGAGGAACTCATCGACGGCTTCGCCATCGCCAGCTTCAGCACCCTGGAAGCCTTGGAGGTAGGTGGGCGGGGTGAGGGGGAGTCGTGGCTCCTGCCACCCGGCGATCTGCCGGCACCCCTGCGGCTTCCGATCTCGGGTTCTGGTCGCCAGCCGCACCCGCGGGCCCCAGCAGCGTGGAGCTGCGCAAAGCCGCCTGTGAATTGCACGCTACGTTCTGGGGCTGCGTGGCCTCACGGTCGTTCCGTTTTTGCAATTATGTTTCTGTTGCCAAACGATCGATCGCTACATTCTTCTTTAGACGTGCAGGGGAGGTGGGCAGCGCTGGAGGTCGCTGCTGGCGCGGCGAAATGGATACTTTGGGATTCTCTCAGTCCACCGCCCTGCCCCTTGACACTTGTGTTTGGAGGAGGAGGGGACCCCTATCTTGACGTCGTCTCAGCTGCGTAGGTCGGAGGTTGGCAGAAAATACTGCTTGTCTGGTTAAGTTATCGGCTGCCCCAGGTGAGCCGAGAAGGAAACAACGCTGTCAGCCTAGGTAGTGAGGCTGGCGGGCAGGAAGGAAGAATTCCAGCCCGCTGACTTTGGAGAGCCGAGCCGTTGGCAGGCTGTGGGAACCAGGCGTCGCTCTGCTCCCCTTGCGCTGCTCACTTTTCCTGGGTCCCGGGATAGGGGCGCTGCCTTCTGCGGCTGGCACTGGGAGACTGAGATAGATGCAAGGGTTCAGAACCTGGGCCAACTCTGTAGACCCAGGAAGTCCTCAGCCTTGCACACCTGGGAGGTGCAGCTCAGGGCAAGGGTCCCAGCTGGGCCACCTCGGCAGCAGTTGTGTGTGGAGACAGGAGGCCCTACGTTTGGCATAGCAATGATTCCCACCTGGTGCCCGTGCCCCGGCCCCTCGCCCTGTAGACCACAGGTCGCACAGCACAGCCCCCTTTCTCTGTCAGCCCCCACCTTCTTTTCTGGCACTCCCTGAGAATTTATGAGCTCGGAGGGGCACAGGACTGACCCATGTCTCCCCAACCCAATGCCCTAGCAGGCTCAGCCTAGACAAAGTATCCCAAGAATCCCTGTGGAATAAATATTGAACGAGTGAGAGGAGAAACTGAGGCTGGGTCATGTGCCCAGGGGTTGCCAGCATGTGGCCTTCCATCAGACTAAGCCTGTCTGTGTCTGTGGCCAGGATAACTACTCTGCCTGGGCACCTCCTCAGCAGGGCTTGGCATTAGTGGCATCTCCACCAGGAGGGGCGGCCTCACTCCCCAGAGCCCCACCTGGAAAGCATGGGCCATCTGGGCAGGTCACAGTCCCCTTCTTGGCCCTGTTCCTCACAGAGCACAGTGTCTTCCAAAACTTTAGGCCCCATTTTTTTCTTAAATGTTTTATTGTGAATTATGTGATAGTTTACATAGGAGAACATTAGTTTTACATTCATTCTATCGTACAACGTCTCATTGCCATAGTTACAATTGCCATGCAATCCTTCCCCCTTGCCCCCCAGTCCTTGTAGGCAGAGGCTGCTGTTGGTTGGCCAGATCCCCCAAGGTGTGGGCAGGCGTGCTCTTACTCCGAGTGGCAGGTGGACCACCACATTTGAGGTCTTTAACTCTCTGTGGGTATGACATAGGCTCCAGACCTGTATGTCCAGGGGTCACCTCTACTGTGGAGACTGGACTTCTGGGGCCTATGCCCTGGCAGACATGCTCCCTCCCTGACCAAACTTCAAGAAGTAGGGGGTGCTGAGCTTGGCCCCCAGCTCCCTGGCAGCTCTGTTCATGCGGCCAGGGCTGTGCCCAGTCGTGGATCCTGCTCCTAGAAGACCCTTATCCCAGAGCTACGGCCGTACTTCCTGTGAGGGGACTTCCTGGTGCCCCTGACACTGCTCCCGAGGACACTGGGGTGGCTGCAGTCACGCCTTGTTGAGTGTTGCTGTTTCATGTGCCCAATACAATTGCCAGTAGTACTAATTTGAGAAGCACAGACCAGCAGTGAGCCTGGGAGGGCCTTGTCCTGGTGTTCTGTGGATCGGCATTGGAGGCCCCATGGGCAGCAGGCTATGGGAAGGTGTGCCTCAATTTCCCTCATTGGGTGGGGGCGCCTGTATACACCCTGGCTGTCTGAGGCCTGTGTCTGTGGACTTCCCTACAGCTGGCTGCAGGGATCAGCAGGCTGTCTGGACATGCATTTCCCCACCCTCCTTAGACCTCCAAGGGACCCAAGCTAGTGGCCAGGGCCACTCAAGTCACCGGGTTTCTGGGGCAGCGTGGCCTGTGGCAAGCTCAGGAGTGCCACAACCAGGGCTCAATGTGAGGATGGAGGGCCATCTGCTGGACTGGGAAGCCCACCCTGAACCAGGCTCTGACCTTGGAGCTCTACCACCTGCTGGAACCTCAGGGGCCCAGTCCCATCATGGCAGCCTCAACCTGGATCCCCCCTCCCCCATGGAGCCCTGCCCTTTGTGTGATTGGCAGGAGGTTTTCACTTGGTATATGCTGAAAAGTTGCCTCCCACACCTAATCTGGCCGCCCGTTCTCTTCTAGTAGTGACTTGAGAGCTCTCTAGGTTGCTCTATGCAGGTGTAACCTAGCCTACAGGCCACCTGCCACACCTTCCTGTGTTTCCTAATTTTCTGTGGTTGATAGCCCACAAGCACCCCTGAAGGTCACTCCTCACATAGGTGGGAGCAGCAGTTTTCAGGTCTCAGGAGGATGAGACCAGACTGGAGGGCCCACATTCATAGGGGACTGGGTCCTGGGGGTGCCACCCTGGAGTCTGAAGCTTCTGAGGGAGTCCTTGAGGGATTTGTGTGCTGTGAGCTCCCCTGACCCACAGCTGGGGGAGTGGAGAGGGAGGGGGTTCCAAGTGCTTTGCCAGCTTGCCTCTGTTTTCACAGAGCCCCAAAGAGGCCTGAGCATGGGCGGAGCAGGCACTGAACTCAGATGGGGGATAGGTGCCTGGAACAGGGGGTGTAACCACACCCCCTGAGGGACACAACACCCCTGCCAGGTCCTGCATGAGCCTGTCTGCAGCACTCCAACACTGCCACCCCAGCCCAGGGCACTGCCAGCTGACACAACGGCCCAGCCTCCCTCGTGGCTCTGTGGTCCGCTCCTGCCCAACTGGGGCCTGACTGTCCCCCTTGCTTGTTCTAAGCTAGTAGTAAGGACCGACATCACTTAACTTGAGGATCGGGAAGGAGAGCCATCAACAGTCCAAGCTGATTCTAAGAGGTACAGGTCAGGCTTGCCTCCTCTCTAACCTCTTTATCTGTTCTGACCCAGTCGTCCCTCTCCCAGTGCTTCTCTTCTGGGTTCAGTAACTCAGTACAGTGGCCACACACAACTCACAGACCATGCTCACACTTAGGAGAACTACAGGGTTGGATTCAGGATCAACTTGGAAGTTACAAGTTACATCGATCCAGGTGGCTTGCAACCTTCTGAGCTGTGACAGCCGACTGTTTGAAGTTGGAGCTCTGCAGCCAGCCCATGCTCAGGCACCTGTTACTGGCTCCACTGGGAAATGCCTGGAGGCACCCATTTAGCCAGCAGGCCTCCATCCTGAAGGCACTTAGTTCTCTGCTCTGTTGGTGAGCCTTCCACAGCCATGGTGACTGGTCATCCAACACTTGCTGCGCATATAATCTTCTGGCATCTCCTCTAGTCTTGTTCTGTCTCTAGTGTCGCAGTTGTCTCTTGGGTCTAGGGAATTGTCAGCACAGGATCCCAGGTTCAAAGGATGTGATCCACTCCCAGCTCTTCTCTTGGATGGCAGTGCATTCCCCACCCGTCTCTGGGATTGACCCTTATAAGCCTAACAGAATGGCAGAGTTGTTCAGTCCCTTTGGCAGGCAACAGGAAGCATAAGAGCTCTGTAGAATAAGTCACAGGTTCAACAGTTTGAACCCACCACCTGCTCCATGGGAGAAAGATGAGGTTTTCTGTTCCCTGAGTCAGAACCAACTCCACAGCACTAAATGATAACAACTTGGTAGACCATAGCCACCTCATTTACATAGTAAACTGTTTAATCCCTGCAACGTTTATGCATATCTTATTTGCATCGTCAGCTGTCCAATCCGTTTGCTAAATTATGGCCCGCACGTTGTTTCTTGCTCTTTTCATTGAGGTGCATTGCACCCCGTGGAATTCATTCCTACATGATACTGTGTGTTATGCCAAACACTTGTAGTCATGTGACAGTCCTGCTGAGCACCCAGCAAGTGTGACCTCGTGTATGCACTCTGTTCTCAGCACCTCCACGGACCCCCCAGTCTGACCTGAGTCATACACTGCCTTTCCTGAGTGCTAGAGGAGTCCATAGTATGTTTCATGTGTGTGTGTGTGTATGTCTGGGTATGTGTGTGAACCCCCAAGCCTGCTGCATGGCCATGTGTCCTTCTTCCCCTTGTCTGTCTCACTCCCTGCCCTGTCCTGTCACCAGACCATCTTGGAAGGTTCTTTCATGTAGACATGCTCTCACCTCCCTCTGAGCCCCTCTGACCTACATCTGGCAGCCTCTGACCCCCCTTACCTCTCACCTTGGCTCTTATCCGCAGACTGCTCTGGCCTAACAGTCCCCGGTGCAGAAGTCCCACCACTCTGCACTGCGTCAGCTTCACCCTGTGTGCAAGTGGGGGTCCCCCTTAGGTCCAGCCTAACTCTCCCAGACGGTTTCCCTGAGTCCTACATCTTTTGCCCTGACTGCGCATTGCTTATGACGTGGCCTGGGCAGCTTCTGGTGGTTTCCCCGATGTCCTTACTGTGTCTCCACTCTGCGCTCTCCTCCAGGTCTGTGTGGCCTTGTGAGCTGCTGAGCAGGTGGTGGTCCCCACTGGTTCTTCCTCTGTTGGGAAGGTCTCCCTCAGGGTTCCTCGCTAGTGACATTGCTGGAGGCACAGATTTCAGTGTCAGGATGTGACAGGTGTCCCTTATCCCTGATGCCTGCCCTCTCCCATCCGGGAGCTCTCGGGACAGCCGCTGCTCATGCTGCCTTGCTGCACTTCATTGGGGTGTCTGCCTGTCTGTCCCACTGCTTGGTTGCACGAGCACAAGCCCACAGGTGCTGCCTTCAGGGGGGTTGGCAATCAGTGAGCCAGAACAGGTGTAAGAGCAGGAGCCAGATGTGGTGAGTGAGGCAGAGACCTGCAGCGCCCTCTACTCCCCCCATAGAAGGAGCAGTTCCAATGACAGAACACTAACTCTCCCAGTGGGCACACCCTATCTGGCTCCATCGACAGATCTCCTCTCCTAGTCCCCCAAGTGTGGCCTGCTGTGACCACAGAGGCCAGGCTGTCCCCTCTCTCCAGCCCTCCGTGGACCCCTGTGCTCTTCTTACCTGCCTCACTGAGCTGGAGGATGTGAGGTGGTGCTCTGGACTTTGGCTGCGGTGACGGGCCCGAGTGCTCTGTAGTTCAGGGCTCATGTTGGAGCGGAGGCCACAGCTTGGGAGGAGCTGTTATTGTGAAGAATGTTCTGGATGACCAGAGGTTGGAGCGAGCAGCTTCCAGGAAGCACTTTATGCACCTTTCAGTGGCCAAGGCCTGAGGGAAGGGGAAGGGAGGCCAGTTAGGCTGTGGATGGTGCCCATGGTTAAGTTCTCATTGCCACCGGAGGCCTTTAGAAGAAAGGCTGTAGATCTAGAACCCCGTGACTCAGTTCTACTGTGCACACGGGTAAGCATGAATTGGAGCCCAGTTTGCAGCAGCTAACACAAAACCTACTTACTGAGTGAGTAGCTTTGCACTGTGAATTTCAGCCAGCAAAAGGACATACCACACAGATGGGAAGCTTGGGGTCCCTTCAGGCAGGCATGGAGAGAAAAGTGTTGGGGATGCTGAATTTTGACCACTCAGCCCCTGACCCTGCACACACCACCCTTCCCACACACACACCTCACATCCCAGCACCGCCATTCACACGTGCCATTGGAGTGACGAGGCCTTCCCGACCCCTGAAAGTGGCCGCCTCCTCCCAAGCCCAGTGCACCTGTTGTCTGCATACTGGGTTCATCTCTTGACAAGCCGCTGGGCAGGGGCTCGTCTGCCTGGACAAGTACCCGGCACTGGGGTTACAGCCCTCGCAGGTGAGCAGAGCAGCAGCACCGATTCACTCAGTAACTGTGCGCCGGGGGAAACGCACTCCCTGAACTGGTGGTTTCTTGTGGCCACCAGACCTAAGACCCCTAGGAGTGAGGCCCAGGGAGAATCTTCCTCTTCATTCCGATGCCCATGTCTCTAGACACATCTCTGCTCAGCTTCCTCAGTAAATCCTGGGCCTCAAGGAGTTTGTCATAGGTTCTCTGTTCACCTCTAGTCATCTCACCTGGGGAGTCAGGGGACTTCCAGGCAGGTTAGAGGGTTACAGCTTTGTTTCAGAAGCATCGATGGTGTCCACACATTCTGTACAGGCACCTGGTCTGCCCCCTTAGGGATCTGCTCATCTTCAGAAAGGCTGGCATCTTTCTAAAGGGGGGTGTTTTAGGGGTGGTATGACTCTGACTCTACCTGAACCCCCCCTCCTTCACCCCTCTCACCCACTGCCCCTCACATGAGCAGGGACAATGTCCCCAACCAAGGCCATTAAGGAGGGATGGGAAGTCTGGGCTTGCTGCCTTTGCTCTGCTCGGAAATCCCACCCAAGACAGGCAGGGGAGAAACCTAGGTCCCTGGGAAACTGTGGTCCAGGCTGAGGCGGGGAGGCATCAACAAGGATGCCAGGCAGCACAAAATTGGATGGATGAGTCTGCAGGTGGCGCGGCCATCCTAGGGATGGTCATAACACCAGCCAAGCTTGGCTCATTGCTGCCTGTGGTCAGCTACTGCAGGTACTGGGCCCAAGCCCTGGTCTGAGATCAGGAATTCCAGGGAGGGCGGATCTTTGCCATAGCTGGCCCACTGGAGTCTGCCTTGCCTCTGTTTCAAGCCGATGCTTGTGCAAGGCTCTGTGCTGGGCTCAGGGTCATAAGGGGCCAGGATTCCGGCCCTGGGGACACACATACCTGCTGGGTCCCCAGGAAGAACACTGAATTAAGAATTGGGGCTACACTCTGATTCCTGGATGGGGCTCTGGGAACTTCCTTCACCTCCCCACCGTCTTCAGGTTCTAGTGGGTCTACCCTTGGACCATGCAGCTCCCTGTAGCTGTAGTCCATCTGTTACTTCCCCTTCCCCAGAGCTGTGAAACCCCTCAGCTGAGAAGCCCACTTAGATGGACCAACCTCCCCTGGTGGGTTGGTGGAGTTGGTTCCAACTTACGGTTTCTAAGGCTGTAATTCTTTATAGAAGCAAAAAGCCTCATCTTTCTCCCATGGAACGGCCAATAGTTTCGAACCGCTGACCGTGAGGTTAGCAGCCTGACTCATAGTCACTATGCGGTTAGCAGAGCTCTTTACCCCTTCAGGTAGATGTTGTCAAAAGCAGAGGGCCCAGAGCTACCGGAGCGAGCATAGTGCAGCTGTCTAGTGACGTCACTAGTGGAACAACAGGTGTCCCACTATGTTGTCAGAGAATAAGTCTCAGGATGGTGTCATTGTGGGATAATGAATCTCATGGTGGTGTCACTAATGGGGTCACAAGGAGGGGTCATGTGTTCTTGGCTAAGCCGAGGTTCTCTTTAACCAGCTTTACCTTTCTCACCCTTACAGAAGGATATGGCCCTGAAGCCACATGAGCGGAAGGAAAAATGGGAACGGCGCCTCACCAAGAAGCCCCGAGAGTCAGAAAACTGCCCATCAACAGAGCCTAGTGAGAACGGGCGGCCGCTGGAGGCAGACAACCCCGAGCAGGACTTAGAGCCTACCTGTGACCGGGGCAAGAAGAAGGTTCCACTGCAACCAACCAAGCAGGTGAGCTCTGGTCTTTCAGCCTGGGGTTCCCCTCCCCTGGGTGCACATTCCACCATCCCCCCCACGGGTCTGTGCACGCTCCCCAGGGCACCTTCTGGGCCATTGCTGGCACCTGGACATCACTCACTGTTAGTGGGGCCTGCCATCATTGCTAGGCTCGAGGTCTGGGGCTCACGGGGCTGGAGGCCAGGGACTGCTGGTGCACGACTGGGTAGGGACTTGTGCAGGACCGCACACTGACCGCACACAGACACTGGGCCTCGCTCACAGAGTGTTGGATGGACCTGTGTCCTGGGCTGAGGCCAGAGTTCAGTGGTGTGTGCTGAGCCTGCGTGGGCGCTGCCTTCTTGGCATAGGCGGTGACATCACTGGAATCATAGGCTGGCCCCGTCTCCCTGTTGCGTCTGTCCGGCTCCGCCGAGTGCAGGGTGTCCAGTGTGTCTGTAAGGACGGGGGACCCGGGCCGCGGCACACCGGGTGCCATCAGCTAACCATGTCTGAGACTCTGTCTGTGTGGTGGGAGGGGGACCTGTAGGTGCTCAGCCCTGCAGTCTCTGGGATTACGTGACTTGTGCTTATTCATCCAGTCACTAGGAGCACCCAGAAAACGGGTTCTGGTCAACAGACTTGGTGTGTCTTCCCTCCATAGGTGCTGGACATGGGGGACATCGTTTCTCCTGTGGGGGCCCCACCGTGGGTGGTCCCTAGAGCTTGACTGGGAAGGGGCTTTCAGGAAGTTGGGTTCTGAGGCTGGTCCCTCAGAGATGGGGGTCTCTGTTCTAGACGCTGCCCACACCTTCTTCTAGAACTCACAGATTTGCGTCTTCTCATTAGGGATGGATTCTTCTCAGTGTGCCAGGCTACACTTTGAACTCTGCTGGGTATAGGGCTGGAGGGGAGGGGATGTGGGCACACCTGCCCAGGTGGACACGTGCTCTTTCTTCCATGCAGGTGTGCTCCCCAGAAGGGGGGCCGCTCCCAGCCAACCCCTGGGACCAGAACAGCCCGGCCCAACGCCAGCAGCAGCTCCAGCCCAGCCAGCCCCAAGGGTCAGTCCCGGACCCCGGGCAGCCTTGCCAGCCCCAGCGGTCACTCCCGGGTCAGCCCTGCCAGCCCCAGCGGTCACTTCTGGGCCTCAGACAGCCCTGCCGGCCCCGGCGGTCACTTCTGGGCCCGGGTCAGCCCTGCCAGCCCCAGCGGCTTCTTCCAGCCCCAGGTCAGCTCTGCCAGCCCCAGCGGCCACTCCTAGCCCAGCCCCGCCGGCCACACTGGGTTCTCCCCAGCCCCCGGCCACGCTCCCGGCCACCCCGCTCCCTGCTGACCCTCTACCGACCGCTGCGCTCACTCCTGGCCCTGCGCTCACACCGCAGCGGGCCCACAAGGGTGGCCCCCTGTCTCCGCCACCAGCCAGTCAGGGCACCCTCAGGGCAACGCGGCCGGCCACTGCGCTCCCTGTTGGCCCACTGCCCACACTGCCAGCCCCCACGTTCCCTCCTGACCCTTGGCCCACGCCGCCGGCCCCCCAGCTTCCTCTTGGGCCCCTGCTGCTGCCCCTGGCAGGCACTCCTGGCCCCATGTCAGCGTTGCCAGCCCCTAAAGTCCCTCTTGGGTTACCCTAACCGTCCCCGGCGGCCGTTGTTGGCCCTCGGTCAGCCCCAGCAAGTAGGCAAAGCATCCAAGCAGCCTGGTCTGCCGAAACTGTCTCTGCTGGGCCCGGGACAGCCCCGCCCACCTAAACGTCTGCTCATGGGCCCGGGACAGCTTCGCTCAGCCAAGAGGCAACTCACAGGCCCAGAACAGCCTTCCCAACGGAAGCAGCCACTCATGGGCCAAGGACAGCCGAGCCAGCCCCTGCGCTCACTTCTGGGCCCCGGACAGCTTCGCAAACCCCAGCCATTACTGCCAATCCCAGAGCGGCCATCACTCCTTGGACGACCCGCCCGCCGGCCACTCCTGGGCCATCCCTGTCAGCCACGGCAGTCACTTTTGGATTTGGGTCAGGCCCGAAGGCCTCAAGTCTCCCCCCTGGCCCTGGGCCATCCCTGCCGGCCCCTGAGGTCATGTCGGACCCGATCATCTACTCTGGGGGTGGCCCGCCAGGCCCCGTACGTGAGCCCTGGAGCCTGATGCCTGCTGGGAGCTTCTGAGGATACTTCTCCAAACGCCTCCCTGTTGGCCTGGCAGAAGGCCCAGGCCCAGACCTCACTGCACTGTCTGAATGGAGCTTCACCCAGAGGGGTGAGGCAGGAAGGGAAGACAGCCCGAGGCCTCTACACCTGTGCTGTGCGTGCCCCCACGGGCTCAGAACTAGGGTCCCCAGCTCCTTCCTGTGCCTCTAATTTGCCAACACTGTTGTCACTGAACCTCACTCCAGCAGCACTCATGTGCATGGGGTGGGGTTAGTGGGCGTGTGTGATATGGAGAGTGTGGGGGCTTGGGGGTGGCTGCCAAGGCTCATCTGTCCCCCTGCTCTGGGCCACCCTGGCACTGGCCCCCAGCAGCACTCACCCTCAGGATGTGACCTTGTCTCAGGGCAGCCCCAGCCCCAGTGCTTCTCGAGGGGCTCTGCTCCGAGAACCTGGTGAGATGACCACTGGGCTCAACACTGTCAGAAGAACCTCATGTCCCAGAGATAGCCTCCGGGTCACCTTGTGTACTTGGGTGGGGGGTGGGGGGGCTACTCTCCGGGTGATGCCTTGGTTCTCAGGTCCAGGCAGGCATCCCTGACCCCTGTGTCCACTTTTCCAAGGACCCCAGCCTCCATGCACAGATCCAGCATCGGGGACAGTGAGCGGGTTTACAGGCATCTGGGAAACACGGGTTTATTTTTCCCATGAAAGGCAATAAAGAGCCCCGTGCTGTTATTTTCCATAAGCACATTGCATCTGTGTCTTGAATGGGAGCAGCCGCATCGGGGGTGCGTGACTCCTTCCAGCCAGCCTTGTGTGTACATAGATACAGGTCAGCAAATTCTGGCTCAAGGCAGTGGACAGTTCACAGGCGCCTTGCTCTCCTCGGGGTGAGGGGTTTCTCTGCTCGGGGGTCCTTTCTGGGCTCTGGGCCAGTCCTGAGGGAACTGGAGAGCCAACGTCTCGGTCCCCTCAGAGGTTGCTGTCCGTCTGGGACTACTTTGCTGCTGACCCTCAGAGGAGGGGGGAACAGGGGTGCTGGGAGGCCTTCAGCAGGACAGTGGCACAGAGGTGGGGTCGTGGGAGTGGTGTCCCTTGGACAGCAGGTGTCAAGGCAGGGAGCATGGTGATCGCGGTCAGGTGGGGGCAAGATGCTGAGGGCCTCGGATAGCCAGAGGGTGTTCTGAGTGAAGTCACAGGTTCTGGGGCTGTGGTCTGGCCTGAGTCCCTCTGGCCACTTCACTAGTACTTTATGGACATCCTGGTTACTTCCGGATGGGCGGCCACTGTCCATACAGGAAAGGGCCAGCAAGACATCTTGCACAACTTGCCAAGCCACGGGGAGTAACCCTTGCAGTGTATGGGGACTTGCAAAAAACACCTCACAGGGCTGGAGCCGTGTTGTGAAGCGCGTGTCTGCCTAGAACCCCTCAGAGTCCCAGACCTGAGTACCCCCTGGGACAATGCCAGTCAGATGCCTCGAGCCCTGCCCCTCTTCGTGAACAGAGGAAACACTGCTTTCTGAGTCTCTGTCCCCACTTAGTAGGTGAACCTGGTGTCCCAGATGACACCAGAAATCAGGATTGGGGGGGGGTCACCTTTTAATCTGCCTTCCAACCAACCACAGCCAGACAAATCCTTGGCTTCCACCTCCTAAGTCTCCCTCTAGACTGGAAATTGGAAAACAGTCCAAAGCAAATGTTAAGTTTGTGGGATGCACAAAAGTTGTAGCATTAACTGCTCATAATCGGACAAAAAGTTTAAAATCAAACAAAGCTACAAAAAGGAAAGTAAACCTACAGATAAGAGCAGAAATTAAGGAAATAAACACAAGAACCATACAGATAAAGATCAATAAATTAAGAAATCTCGTTACTAGTCTTAGAAGGGGAGAGGGTGCCATTGTAAGTTCTGCAAACATTTAAAAGTATGGACCTTGAACAATTTTGTTTCAATAAAATCAACTGATGAAATATACACAACTTAGCAAAACAGACTCATGCTGAAGTAAAGCTGCTAACTAGTCCTGTGTCTGTTAAAGAAGTGGACTGTCGCTCCAGGCCAGCGGTCACCCTCACAGCACTGGACTAATAGACGCTACTCGGTCGGAGCTGTTCATGTACTGTTTTTAGTGGGGAGTTTGTACCACGGTTGACCTCACCACAACCCTATGAGGTGAGCGGTGATGCTTAGTGCTGTGAAGTTGGTTCCGACTCACAGCGACCCTGTATAGGGTTTCCGATGAGCGGCTGGTGAGTTTGAACCGCTGACCTTGCAACTCAGACCTTGTGGTTGAGTGCTTCTATGGGGCTACAGTGGTTAGCATGTAACACCTTGTTTAACTACAACCCCATGAAGTATCCTATTGTTAGGCCCTTCTCCCCTCCCTTGTAGAAGGTCTCTGGGAAGTTCAGTCCACCTCCTTGGCCTGCTTGTTCAGTCCTGTATTGACTGAGCCCCGCTCCTTCCATTGCTGCCTGGCCGGCCGCCTCCCTAACTAACATGCCTTACAGGTTTCCATGCGTTCCCCACTGGGCCCAGAGTGAAGAGTGGGCTATAGCTGTGCTTCTGTGCTGGGACACCCAGGTCTCACGTCTGTCTGCCCTTCATGTGAGGATGTGTGAGGGTGTAGTAGTGAGAGCAGATGCTCAGCCCCTGTTCTGACTCTGTACCCCAGCTGGTCACTCAACCACTCGGTACCTCCATCTTCCCTCCCCCAGCACGGCTGACCTGACAGTGGTCTTCCCTTGGGGTTGTTGGGATAAGTAACTTACATAAGGCGGAACTCTCAGGACGCCATGGCTGACAGGTGACCACGACCAGGCTCGGCTCCAACGCACGGCGGCACCCCTATGTGTGTCAGAGTAGAACTGTGGGTGCTCTGTGGGTGTTTCCATGACTGAGTTTTTAGCAGCCCCCCTTTCTTTAGGGGTGAATGGCTGCTGCTATCAGGAAAGGCTCCCCGCCCTGGGGTTGGCCTGATAGAGCAGGGATGCCTTGTCCCTTGGGTTTTGGAGTCGGGTGCTGGGCCTGCTGTGGGCAGTGCTCTCCCATCTGTGAGGGTTGGGTTAGTCACAGTACTACCGGGGGTGGGGTGGGGTGGCTGGAATGGCTGCTGGGCCCCGTGGGTGTTGGCTGTCACACTTACTCATAATCACTCTCCCCTGCCCGCCAGGCCTGGGCTGCAGGCGTTAGAGGACTAGTGGGCAGGGTCCAGTCCCTACAAGGGCCTCAGTCTGCAGGGAGTAGTGAGTACGACCCTCTGAGCCCCTACATCCCCACTGTGGCCCTTGGGTCAATCAGGGCTCTGCTGGGGAGAGGATGGCTGTGTTTACAGAGAGGTGCTGTTTAGGGGAAGAGGTGGAAAGAAAGTGCTGTGGGCTGGGCACCAACAGGGGTGAGCTTGGTACAGTATGGTAGCTGGGTGACAACAGGGCAAACTGGCTACCAACACAGTGAGCTGGCAAGGCCAAGTGGGCTGACTAGACCGGCCGGCTGGGTGGTCTGGTAGGCCAGGTGACAAGGGCAGGCTGGGTGGTAGGACAGCCAGGAAGTAGGGAAGGCTCCTTCAATCAGCAGGTACTGCTGAGTTTCTGCTCTTCTGGGCACTGAGGATACAGCAGTGAACAAGTAATATGGAAATCGCCCTTGTGAAACTTAAACCCTGACTGGGAGACAAACCTGGGGGGGTGGTGGGAATTTTGAGTACAAAGTATCTGGGAGAAGGTCAGGAGGTCCCAGCATTGAACAGTGGAGCCTCAGGGGCCTAGTCAGGTGACCTAGCCAAGACTGGGTGGAGCCTAGGCCAAGCCAGAAGTCCAGGTTTAGGCCCCTCAGAGTCTTGGATGTGGGTTGCTGCCCCGTCCTGTACACAGCAGGGACCACCCATAGCCACAGGCAGAGAGATTCTTAGTGTGACTACCTCAGTCCAGCATGCACCCTCTTGTGAGCAGCCTTCCTGCCTGGGAACACCTGTTCTTCCTCAAACCTGCCTGTGCCCCAGGCTGGGTGGTGCTGGGAAGGTGAGGATGAAACACCACCCAGCCCACTGAAGGTTCCCACCTCACTTCCAGATAGATACTCAGGGGCTGGGGGCGGGTGGGTAGGAGGGTCAGGTGGATCAGGAAGGGCTTCTGAAGGGAACAGGATGCCAGCCTGCCCAGGAGGGGAGACGAGACTGCCACTGCCAGGGTCTCATTGCCAATTCCGTTTCCTTCATTTTAAACTTGGATAACCTTTTTCTCACAGGAAACATATGAGAGGCTTACCGAGAGTTTAGTACTTTTTCATTCCGTTTTTCCACAAGTTTTTTGAGGCCTCTTATTGTAGCGTGGAGGAGCTCTGGTAGCGTAGTGGTTACGAATCGGGCTGCGAACCTTAAGGTCAGCGGTTCGAAACTACCAGCCGCTCCGCGGGAGAAAGATGAGGCTTTCTACTCCCGTAAAGATTTACACCCTCGGAAACCCTGTACAGGGTCGCTATGGGTCGGACCCGACTCGATGGCACTTAACAACAATAACAACAACAACAATTGTAGCGTGGGGACTCCTGGTATACGGTGCTGTGAGTTAAGTACGCTGGACTGCAACGTCTGTCTGGACTGCATGTCGGCGGTTCAAGTTCTCCAGTTGCTCCTCGGAGACCCTATAGAGGTTCGCTATGGGTAGGAACCAACTCGATGGTATCGTTGTTAAGTGCCATCAACTTGATTCCGACCCATAGAGAAACTTTATGGGAGCAGAAACCCTCATCTTTCTCCCACGGAGCAGCTGGTAGTTTCGAACTGCTGACATTGCAGTTCGAAGCCTTATTTGTAACCACGACGCTACCAGAGCGTAGTGGTACCTCACAACTGTAGTGTCTCATGGAGCTGGACCAGTACCAGCCTTCACCAGTAGGTGTAGCCATCAGCACAGTGTGAAGTTCAAACTCGAAAAGATCTTGTTGATAAGTGCCTTTGGGTCAGGTCCGACTCCCAACCAGCGGCTCGTGAACTTGAACTGCTGACCTGTGGTTCAAACCAACCTTGCAGTCCAGCACATTAACCCGCAGTGCCAGGGCTCCTGAAGGTATCTCAGGCTGAGCTTATGGATGCTTGGAACCCTGATGTGGCACTGTGGGATAAGCACTGGACTGCCAATTACCAGGTTGACAGTTCAAAACCCAGCTTCTCCTCGGAAACCTTATAACAGAGTAGCTCTGCGTTGGCACCGACTCACATCACTTAACTACAACAATGGCAGGTTAGACGTCACTCTTCTCTGCATTCTGAAACATACAGTCAGCCCTGTGTCATTTATGAGCTGTGCGGGGGGCTGCCTTCTGCAGCGCCATCTCATGATGGGTTCCCTAGTCTTGCCCTCTGCGACTCCTCCCTCTTAGCCCCGGCTCTGCCCCTGGTCTCCCTTCTCTGAAGACATACCCCAGTCTCCAGACAGTTCCTAGCTGTCTGAACACAGAGCTGGAGCTTGCATTTGATCCCACCGGGCTTGGGATGTAGGTGAAAGTCCACTTAGCACGTGGGGGCCCTCCCTGGAGGTCCTCCCTGGAGGTTCTTGTGTTCACGTGCTGGTGGACAGGCTGTGGGGCTGAAAGAACCTGTGCTAAGAGATGTGTGTTTAGTGGTGTAGGCACTGTGAACGGGGTCTCAGAACGAACACCAGGAGGGATGGGGTGCAGCTCTCTGGGTAAGTCAGGGAGGACCCCGACGGAGGTGAGGGTGTGCCCCAGGGCCCTGGTGAGAGTCCGTGGATGTGTTGGCCGGAGGGGACTGGGGGTGGGTGGGCAGGACTGCTCCTGGGGCGGGTCTGTGGAAGGACCACTCTGGTCCTACGTGATTCCGGGATGAAGGGCTGGCATTTGAACAACTTGCCCTTCCCTGTATCACGATGAAATAATTTCCAGCTGAAATGTTACTATGACAAGGCAGGGCCCGGAATCCAGCCCCTAGTTCTAGCCCCTGCTGCTTTGGGCCTTGCACTCCTCTTTAGACGGGCATGAATGGAGATGAAACAAGTTGGCCTGGCACCTAGCAGCCCGTGCCCGTTCTCCTGGTGACCCTGTGTTACTGTAGCTGCTCCCTCAGTACCTGCCTGCAGGTGACAGAGCTGAAACACAAAAAGGCTGGTAACTGCCCCTACTCCACAACTGTGCAGACACATAGACGAGGCAGGTGTGGGAGGGAGCTGGTGGTCCAGGCCCCGATGGCCCCACACCAAACTTTCCAGTCACGAGGGGGCCAAAAACCCTTAAAGCAGAGGCAGCCCTGTGCACAGCAACAAACTACAACAGGACAAACCCCCTAGGCTGTGATGGAGAGCCTGGCAGGGCTGTGGTGACCTGTTAGGGTGTGCTGACCCCATATTGGCACGGGGCAAACCCTTGTTGGTGTGTGGCCTGTGGTGACTCCCATGTTAACGTGTGTGACCCAGTGTTGGTGTGTGAGCTAGAGCGTGACCCTCAGGCTGGGATGTAGGCTGTGGTAACCTCACTGTTGGGTGTAGACCCTGTATTGGGTGTGGTGACCCCGTGTTGGGTGTGATGGATGACCTTGTGTTGGGGTGTGATGACCCCATTTTGGGATTTGGTGACCCTGTGTTGGTTATGGTGATTCCGTGTTAGGGTGTAATGACCCCATTTTGGGGTGTGGTAACCCTGTGTTGGGTGTGATGACCCTGTGTTGGTTATGGTGACCCCATGTTAGGGTGTAATGACCCCATTTTGGGCTGTGGTAACCCTGTATTGGGGTGTAGTGATCCTGTGTTGGAGGTGGTGACCCCCATGTTGGGCTGTTGTGACCTTAGGCTGGAGTGTAGGCTCTGATGACACACACACATACCACGCTGCAGCTGGACCAAGAGGTGCAGACACGTCTTCTTATCTCTCCCCCAGATGAAAGTTGCGGTGCCCAGAGGGGGCGACAGGAACAGTGAGGAGGACGGCGTGCACGAGGCTACCAGCTCCAGGCGCAGCAGCTCTCGGGACCGGCTCAGCGACGTGGGTACTGGGACTGGGGCGGCAGTGGGATGTGGAGATGACCCAGCCCAGAGTCACAGCTGGACTTCACTAGGGTGGGCTGATGGCAACTGGGCCTGTTAGGAGGGACCTGACAGAGAGCAGCAATTAGAGCCAAGCAGGGCTCCAGGGTGTCGTCAGACAGGATCTGAGGGGAGCCATGCTGGGGACAACTCAGCCCATCTTCTGCTGTCAGTGCAGGCTACCACCCCCACCCCCTGTACCCCAAGTTCAGCAGCTGAAGGCTGCTGTTAGCATCGTCAGCAGGAAGGGCCCTCACCCAGGTGAGTGGCCTCGCTGACAGCCCCTTCTCCACCATGGACGGCCCGACAGTAGCCTGAATGGTGGACTAGGCCTGGGAACTGCCCATGGGACCGACCATCTTCCTCTGAAGCTGAGGGTCCCCAGCGGCCTTCACCAGGTTCCTGGAAAAATGGACCCTGTTCTCCCAAGCCCTAGGGTGGGGTGTCAACCTCTGTAAGGGGCACAGGGGGTCCTTTGGGTTACATAACAGGGCAGGCCAGCAGGATCCTCTGGAGCGTCACCACAGTGTTGGGGCAGTGCAGGAAGGCTGCTGGACGCTTCTCTGAGGCTGGACAGTGACCTGGGGACAGCGTCTCTAAAGGTGTCCCAAGCCCCAACTCTGCAGTCAGAGGTGAGGGAAGCAGAGGGAGGGGCCATGCCAGCCCCTGGTACTTGATGCTGGACCCGTCTCACCTTCCCGTCTCACCCTTGGTCTCCATTGCCCCCACAGACCCAAGGACTCTGCCTCAAATCAGGGCAGGCTGCCTTGGCCTGACATTTCATAAAACCCACAGTTGTGGAATGCAGCTGAGTCCGTCCCAGCATCCTTATGGGGCTGTAGACATTGGAGCAGTCATCCACTTGCAGGCAGAATATGCTCTGCCCAGTGCTGCCCAGTGACTATTCACCTGGTGACCACTGGCCTCTATGCCTCGGCCTCCCATCCAGGGGAGAGCACTGGTCTCTGGGCATCACGGCCTTCCTGCCTGGCCCTGGCTCTGGCTGGCCCCTCTGCCAGGTGCCTTCCTGAACCCTTGTGTGAAATGCTGTGATTCCTCTGGGCAGCTGGGTAGGCAGGTGAGGTGGACAAGGCCACTGTGGGTGCAGAAGGCCCTTTCTATGTTCAGAAAATCCCCTGCAGCCCAGACCCTGCATGGGGAGTCACAACCCAGCCTCACCTGGGCCTGAATCTCAGCTGTGCCGACCCCAAGCTCCCTAACCAACCCCGGAGCTGTTTCAAGGAAACCGAAGCAAGTCAGTAGGGACTAAGACCATGTAGGAGGCTCGGAGGCCCCAACCCCGGGAGGGCTCCCCCTTGGCCCCTGACCTGTCTCTGGCCATGAGAGGGACTGGGAAGGGGCAGTTCCTCATCGGGTCCCTTCCTCCTGCAGAGCTCGGCACAGGTGGTCTCTGGAAGAGGCTATTCGGTAAGTGACCCTCCTGGCTGTGGCTTTGCCTGCCTAAAGTTCCACCCCCAGAGTCCCCACACCTCCCCGTCCCTCTAGCGTCCCCTCCACCCTGCTAGATGGCCAGACCTTGGGGTGGTTCTGGCTCCGTCAGTTGTGCATCTGAAAAGGGTTCAAGCTGAGTCGGGGGACAGTAATGCCATCATAACCTGTGTTCCTGCGTGTGGACAGCACCTGGTCCATTGAGGGGCTGGGGGTGGGATCGGGTTCAGCCCACCTCAGGTTTCAGGGTGAGTCCTAAGTCACAGTGATGTTCACCAGGGACAGCAGCCCAGGTCTGGTATTCACTGTGTGCTTCTCTGTTGTGGGGACGATTGGTCCACTCTAACTACCCAGTGTCTCTCTGGGTGTCAGGCGGGCACTGCATTGGTCACCTCACCTCAGGGCCCCTGGACCCATGGGGGGTGGCAGTACACTAACGGTGTCTTGGAGGAGAGTTTTCTGTAGCCACACAACCTAGTACCTTCAGGCCTGGCCTTCTTGTCTGTCCACTGATGCAGGGGCCACACGATGCTCACGTTGGCTCCTCTCAGGGTGGGGAGACCACTCACAGCCCCTCTCAGGGTAGGGGGGTACTAACTACGTCAGCCCCTCCTAGGGTTGAGGGACCCCGTGTGGTGTGGCTGTCAACCATGGTCACCTCCCCGCCCCCATGCCACTGTTCTGCGCATTCCTTGGCTACAGCGTGGACAGTCTAGGTTCACTGGCTTTGCTGCCAGGGATCGAGCATGCTGGGGAAAGTGGACAGACAATGCAATTCAGGATACCCTGTGAGGTGAGACTCAGGGCACATGCATGGGGGCAGGTGCCCTGGGCAGATCTGTCTTCCCATGTGGATTGGCAGGAGGTGGGCTTCATGGGTGTGAGGAAGTCTGGGCCCCCGAGCAGAGCCCACATGTACCAGGGTCCCACTATGTGGCTGTCACAATGTGCCTTGAGGTGTTTTGGAGTCCCACAGGCAGGCAGTGCCTGTGTGGCCCCTTCCCAGGTTGTCATTCAGCGGGACTCCCTACGGAACCGCCTACTAGGTCCTGGGACAGCCCTTTGTCTGCCAAGTCCCCGTCCATCACTCATGGTCCTCACCCCAACCAACTGCAGGGAAACTGACTCAATTAACACTCCAGCTGCTCCAAGCCTCTCACACAGACATGGCTGCTGGGCCTTGGTGTGTCCAGTAGCTGTGGACAAGCCTGTGGCCGTGAGTGTCTGTGTTCCTTCTGTGAGTTTTCCATGTGTGTGTGCACGGGCTGCTGCAGGTGACTACCTCTAGCACACGCTCACGTGTGCGTACATGTGTGTCACTACTGTGTACTCCATATGGGTTTCATGTGTGCCTGCATGTGTCCCCTTCCCAGCTGCCTATGGCTGTGCTTGTCTGCACCCTGCTGTCCCCTGACCGCACCCCCAGTCAGTGACCTGGCCCCTTGTTATTTCACCTGGTTTTATAAAACTTACTTAAAAATTGTTTAATTTTGCCAAGATTTATTCCTAGCAAGTTCCCAATTATTGCTCACTCTTAGCGGTGCCCTAACACACCATCGGAAGCTCTGGTAGCGTAGTGGTTACGAATTGGGCTGCGAACCTTAAGGCCAGCAGTTCGAAACTACCAGCTGTTCCACGGGAGAAAGATGAGGCGTTCTCCTCCCGCAAAGATTTACAGCCTCGGAAACCCTGTACAGGGTCGCTATGGGTCACCATCGACTCGACGGCACTTAACAAACAAACAAAACTTAAAAATTGTTTAATTTTGCCAAGATTTATTCCTAGCAAGTTCCCAATTATTGCTCACTCTTAGCGGTGCCCTAACACACCATCAGATAGATGTTCGTTAGCACCATAAAATTAGTTAGCAAGTCTTCCTCTTAATTTGGTTGCTCACAGCCAAGGACAAGATGCTAAGCAAGGGGTCGGGCTTCCTCTCAGACAGGAAGAGAAAATCTGCAAATTCCTACTGACCTCCCAGGCTCGCCCTTCCCCCACCCACCCACTCTGAGTGAGTGGAATGTTCTAGAGGAGATCCCTGGGCCGCAACAGCCATAGAAGTGGCAACAGCTTGCCCCCTGCTCGCTGGGACTCAGCGCTGCTCTGCTCTTGGCTCCTTGCTACCTTTCATCTGCCCTCTGACCCCTGTTCTGTGCCCAAGGAAAGGGACGCACAAAGTAGTGATAAGGTTTGTCTGTGGGCGCCAGCCATTGTGAGAGGGTGGGCTTGGAACCCAGACCCAGCTCTGGCTGGACACATTCCAGCTGCACCTCTCATCAGCCCATCCCAACCCCCTTCTCACATCCCGCCCCAGCCCCTGGTGAGCCACAGCACCAGGTAATGGGTGTGCCAAGGGAGGCCTTGGGACACTGCTTACCTGGTCAGCCTGAGCCTCCCACCAGCAAGTGGCTGGGGGTCCTCACAGGGTGTCCGTAGCTGACTGGCTCAGTTGCCTTCAGCAGATTTTCAGAAATTGTCAGTAGGGACAAACGCATACAGCTTGTTTCCCAGGAGTCTTTAGCTGCTAAGGGTACCCCCCAGGGACCCCACGGTTTCTTTCACCGTGAACCCTGTATAGACGCTGGTGTTGGGTACTGCCACTCAGTTTGGATTCATACTGATCCTCTGCACAACAGAAGGAAACACTGCCCAGTCCGGAGCCAGCCTCACGCTCGTCCTGGTTTCAACCCATTGTTGTAGCCTCTGTTTCATTCCTTCTCGGGAGGGGCTTCCTCTTTCTCGCAGACCCTCTACTTCACCAAGCATGATCTCCTTCTCCTGATAACATGTCCAAAGTACGTGAGGAAACGTTTTACTGTTGCACATACCATCAGTGGCTGTAGCAGAAGAAATGAAATCGGGCGCCTTTATACCGGAACCCATAGAACAGTGTTAGGTTCTTAATCGGTGGGTAGAACTGTGACCAGAGGTCCTCAGGAACCTCGCCCTGTGCTTCCCCAAGCCGTGGTGCAGTGTCTGCAGGGACAGTACGCAGCTGCACGTGGGCTGGGCTGCCACAGACAGGAAGGCTTAGAAGGAGTGGAGCCCTGTCCAGCTAGAAATTGGCAATTAGAAGGTTCTGGAAGCACACAAGCACACTCTACTAGCAGACCAATTGTGGCAACATCACAGTCCTCTGCGGACCCCTAGCAGTGTCCTGGGACCCCAAAGTCTCTGGACCTCACTTTGAGTCTTGCCAGCGCCTGGGTAGAGGGAGGTCAGGTCATGAGGTGAGGAGGGAAGAGGTGGGGTCCCGGGGGCAGGGGGAGAGATAAGGTCATGGGACGAAGTGGGGAGCAGTGGCCTTGGACTGAAGGTCTCTCTCCCTCATCCCGATGCTCTGGCCTGTGGAGAGGTCATGCGCCAGCACCCCAGCCCTGGGCAGTGGGGCACCCCCACGCTACCTGCTCTTCTTTATGAGGCAGGGTTAGGGCCTTCATTACACTGCTCTGCAGCCATAATTTACACAAAAGCCGTAAAGCCTGTCATCCCTCTCCTGGGGGGGGGGGGGCGGGGGGAGAGACCTTCGAGTGGGAAGCGTTCACCAAGGCTACTGCCAGAGACCGCAAGGACAGCAGAGGCTTGGGATGACCTCCTTTCAGAGGAATGGACATCTGTCTGTCTGTCCATCTGTTTGCTCATCTACCCATCAGTCCATCCACTTGTCTACCCATCCATCCACCCTCCCTCCTCCCATCTGCCCTTCCTTCCATTCCTCTGTCCACCCGCCCACTCATCTTCCCTCTACCCATCTGCCCATCCCACCATCCATCCGTTGGTCCTTTCATCTGTCCATCCATCCATTTGCCCATCTGCCTATCCACCTATCTGTTCACCCGCCCACTTACCCCTCCTCCACCCATCTGTTCTGCAGGCTGTCCATAATCCAGCCAATCATCTATCCATCTGTTTGTACATTTATATGTCCATTCACCTATATGTTCATTCACTCATCAGTCTCTCTCCATCCGTTAGTCCAGTTCATTCCTTCATACTTCCGTCCGTCCGTCCTTCTGTCTGTTCACCCATCCATTCATGCATCTGTCTTTCCATCCAGCCCTCCCATCTGTCACTCTCGTTCTCAGTACGTCTGTTTGTTCATTCATACCCTCACTTGGCCATCCATCCATCTGCCCACCTGTTTCTCCCTGCATCAGTCACACTCCCCGGCCCCCATCCGTTTATTCAGTTCACATGGCCCTGGGCCCTGTTGAAAGCCTTCCCCGTGTTAGAGGTTAGATCAGAACTGCCCACTGGTGCTGTTCTGATCTGACCTCTCAGGAGGGAAGGCTTTGGGAGGGAGGAGCCCACGCAAAGGCTGTGTTGAGTGTGTTCACAGGGCGGGTGAGTGAGTAGCTTAGGGATACTGTCCACAGCACAGACTGCAGAGGGCCTTGGGGCATGCAGATGCCTAACATGAGAGGGCTTGTATGGAGAAGTGACATGTTAGACATTTGTGAAGATCTGGGGTTGGGGATGCTCTGGACCCTCTTGTGAGTTTAGGGCCCCGAGAGTCAGACTGCCTGGGTTGCACACCCTCCAACTTTCCCCACAAGGCCTCTGGGTGCACAGGGAAAGGTGATGCCTAAGCATGTTGCTTTTGGAGCCTCTGCGGCCCTGGGACACCCACAAGGGGTGCCTGCAGGGGGCCGTGAAGCCTGATTCTCCTGTGACAGCCCAGGACACTGGTCCCAAGAGACTGACTGAGCGGCCTGCTGCCCTCTTAGTCAGGGGCTTCCTGATGAGGGTCTTGAGGCAGCAACTGGTGGGCAAAGCCCACATGGCCTTTCCACCATGGACGGAGCCAGGTGGTTGGTGGGGGTACATCCCAAGTCCCTGGCCCATTGCTAAACTGCCAGAGGAAGCTGGAGTCCAGTTATGCAGACAGGCAAGGCCGCTGTGACACCGAAGGTCAGAAATTAATGTTAACACTGTTTCTGGTTAAGACTTTTATGTTGATAAATAATTCATGAGGCAGT